GGATTCTGTTGTGCTGCCTACAACTGTCCATGAGCAAACAACCCACCATTCGGCCTGGACATCTTGGATTCATCATTCGTTGGAATCAACAGCCAGTATACTGCCTGCCAACCTTGAGCTCATCAGCCCCTGCAGCTGTGTGACTTGGGAAAAGCCTCCAGCTTGACATTTGATCCAAGAACTTGGGACTTGCAAGCTTCTGTAAGTGTGTGAGCCATTTTCCTAAGATAAATTTCTATTTCTCTCTCTATAAGCTTTACTGGTTTTGCTTCTCTAGAGAACCAAGTCTAACACAGTCATGAAGCAAAATGTGTATGAACTGCTATATGGAAAATGAATTTGCTGTGTAAATCACAACTTGAAAAAAAAAAAAAAAGATACATACAAGGTAATCCAGTGTTGGGAAAAAAGAGATAATGGAGACTTGGAGCTCACAGCAGAGTGGGGCAGATAGATACAATTATAACACAGAGTCCCAGTCCAATGTGATACTCAGGACAATAGTACAATGGGATATCCCTACTGCATGTCTAAATACTTAATAATTACAAAAATCAAGCTACAGAGCTAAAGGAAATATGTTCTCTCCTCCTATCCTGAAAAATATACCTTCAGAAAGACTTAGAAGTCCAGGTTTAATGTCAAACATTTTCAGAGTCCTAGAAGTTACAGACTAGTATGTTGAACATAGGGAGACCCCAGCTCTCAATCTGCCCCTTCTATTCTCACCTTTCAGTTTCATCTGCAGAGTAAGGTCCCTTGCATGTGCACCTAGGGAAACCCAGCCTGCATGTTGCAGCTCTTCCCACACCCCTCTGCCAACAGCTGCCCCTTAGCTACCTCTCAGGCTAGGGGTTGGGCATACCCTGGCAGTGTGGTCTGCCCTCTGGAGGACCCAGAGACAGGGCCACATGGGCCTTATCAGTGAGCTCAGGACCATTTGGGCAGGGAGTTCTGGTTTCCCAAGGACCCAGAGTTTGATCTAGAAGAGGGAGGTGCAGGATTTAGGTGGGCATATCCCCTTAACCTCATAGGGAATGTCATAGCTATAGTGATGCTCTCTAGACCATCTCAGTGAGAACCATCTCAGAGAAAGTGTCCTTCTTGTTGGGGCAACGATTAGATTGCACAGAGTAACTGGGGCTGTGACTGGGGTTGTCACTGGGGCTGTCATGGGGCAAGCACAGAGGGGAGGGGTTGCAGGAGACTAGAGGGGCCCTGCCCAGCCTGGAAAGTAGAAGATGACTCTCCAGGGAATGTTTAAATAAACCAGAGTCAGCTGAGGAAAGGTATGCTGGCCCTTTAAGAAAGTGATGTAGGTATAGCAGGGACCCTCAAGATTCATGTGGAAGGCTTCTCACTCTCACTACCACCCACCCTTAATTGCATCTGAGGGGTGCCCAGGGTCCTGGAGGCCACTTGGTCTAATTCACCCATTTCACAGAAGGGGAAACCAAGGTCTGGAAATATAAGGCAAGTTGCCTACACTTTCCCAAGGCCAAGGTTTCCTGGTTCTCATCATGCCCAGCCTCTGGTCTCCAGAATCCTCTGTCTGGATTAATCCTTTCCCTCCCTCATCCAGACCCAAGGTCCCAGAAGGGAGGGGCTTTGGTGTGGAACCTCATCCACCCCTGTGTGCTATGCAAGCATGCACACATGTGGACAGCCCTTGTGGGGCAGTGGAACTTGAGATGTCTGGGGTGCCTAGTTCTCTGGGGAGGGGGGGAATCAGTGACCCCCACCCCCACCCGCACCAGCACCTCCTGACCAGCACCAGCACCTCCTGGCCACACGTGTGAGAGCCTGTTCGCCCAGAGGCAGCTGAGAATGGCAAGGAGGCCAGTGGCTGGTAAATAATTGATCAGGACAGCTGATAGTACCTCCCCAGAACTGCCCGCCAGCCCCCAGCCCCCCTCACTCGCTGCTCCCGCCTCCCTCTAAACCAAAACCAGCTGGACCAGCTCTCCCGGTGCCGCCCGACCCGCTTCCCTGCCCGCAGCCCCCACTCCTGCCTGCCAAGTCACAGCCTCCAGGGCACCTTCAGGCAAGCAGGCAGTTGGTCCTGAACTCAGAGGCTGGAGACCGGGAGTGGGCTTTGGGCAGAGATGGCCCTGCAGAGCCAGGTGTGGTCTTCAACCACACCCATGTAAGTGTCCAGCGGGGGGCCTGCGGTGGGGGACAGGGCCTGGAAGGGCCATGGGGGACGGTAGCTTTGCTCTGGGGCCTGGAGCCCCAGCTGAACTCTCCTGAAGGAACCAGGGAGGGTGGAAGGAGGCAATAGCCAAGCCAGGGGGCTCTTCAATGCCCCTCTTCCCCAGGGAGGTGGTTGGGAGGTGTGGACCCCCGCCCCCGCCCCCTTCCTCTATGGGGATTTTCCAACCAACTGACGGATAGGCTGCAGGCCCAAAGTCCAGCTTGGGGGCGGGGCTATGGCTGAGGGTGGAGGGTGGAGGGTCCCAGGGTCCCTCGCTCCCCCCTGCCTCTAGAATTACTCCTTCAGTGTCCAGGGTGGGAGGAAATATTTGACATCCTGCAGAAATTAACAGCTCCTAAACCAGGAAAGACAAAGGCAAAATCGCAATGATGACCTGTTTGATGAAATGGCCACCAGACATTCCTGGTGGCAACAGGTCACCTACCCTATAAACTTAGATATAAGCAACATCAATGGGTGAGCGGGGTGTTTTAGTATTTCATGTCTGAGGACCTTTAAAAGCAAGAGTGAGGAGGGGCTCCAGAGGTTTGTAAAGAGTTCTGGGGGAGGGGCTCACCCCAGGGACCCCAATTCAGTTTCTCACCCTTCTGGGTCCCCACTGCATTATTCATCAACTACAAACCTGGTTGCCTAGCAATGGGAACTCGATCCCCCCCAGCAAGGAGAAGATAGGGACATTATATCTTGGGGGCAGATTGAGAAGGGAGGGCCTTCAGTTCTCCCCCAGGAGCAAACTTTTGGCCATCTCTGCCCAAAGCCCAGCCTCTGAGTTCAGGGGGAGGGGGTCTAGGCTTTCTCAGGGATGCTCTACAAATGTGTCTTCAGCCCACTGCCCCAACGAAATCTGGGACCTCTAGGCCTTCTGGTTGTCAAGTAAGATGGGAGTTCCTAGACCCTCACTGTGTTCTAGTGGTTTGAATCTGAGAGCCCCGAGTTCTTGTCTTGACCCAGTGATCTTGGACAAGTCTATTGGTCACTTCTCAGAGCCTGTTTTCCCATCCATAAAATGGGGGCACTAGTACTACTTGCCTCCTAGTATTGTTGGGAGGAAGAAATAAGTTATTTTAAATAAAGCATTTGCAGCAGCGTGTGGTACGTGGTACATCCCACCCCAAAAGATGGCCAAGTTTATTCTTGGCTGGAATGATAACTCAGAGACCAGTTAAGTGCAGGGTATCATGACCAGGGCAGGGCGGGAAGGCAGAGGTGGTTGTGGGAGCAGGAGAATTGTTGTCCCACTCTTAGAACAGTATCTACACAGGAAGTGCTAAATAAGTGCTTGTGGATCCCTGATGGCTCAGTGGTTAAGCACTTGGCTGCTAACTGAAACGCTGGCAGTTTGAACCCACCAGCTGCTCTGAAGTAGAAAGATGTGGCAATGTACTCAGGCTTGGAAATTCTATGGGGCAGTTCTACTGAGGCTGGGGTGCCTTGGGATGAGGAGTTGGACTCACCATGAATCGGAATCCACGCAACAGCAGTGGATTTGGTTTAAGTAAGTGCTTGCCATTATGCCTTCATGGTGTGGCCAGGGACGATCTGGTGATCCCAGCTGGAGTTTGGCCAGTAGGGCTGATGCTCACCCAACAGGGCTGTTGTTCAAATTAATAAGCGCTTGAGTGCTCGCTCTGTGCCTGAGCTGGGTAGACCCAGGTCCCTACCTTCTAGACAGGTAAGCATCAGACTGTGAGGCACCTGCACATATGGGCACTCAAAGGTCTATGATGATGAGATTAATGTGACAGTGATTGTCCCCCAAGTGCCTTCCAGTACTACAGTCAGTTTCTGGCTTCCAGGGCCCCTGAGATGGGGTGGGGGCAGGGAGATGGGGTGCTGCAAGGAGGGACAATGAGAAAGGAATCTCAGGTTAAACCTTAAACAGCAGGTCCCCCTCCCCACTTTCAGCTCAGAGTCCAGACCAAGGCAGTGTGACCCAGTGACCCTTGCCACCAGGAAGGAGGATTGGTAGATGGGGAGTTACCATGGCAATGGCATGTGTCCATGGCAAGATGGACACTTCTCTCCCCAGACTTCCTCACCTCCTAGCACTTAAGGGATCCTGGGTAGGAGGCAAGGACCAGAGAGGGTGTAGAGCTGGCAAGAGATACACGGCATCTTAGGGGCTTGGCAGGATTCAAGAGTTCCCATAGGATGGACTGGAAAGGGTTACTACAATTAATAATATTATTAACATTGTTGTTGTTGTTATTATGCGCTGTCAAGTCAGACCTGACTCATAGCGACCCCTCCTTGGGTTTCCAAGGCAGTATCACTACGGAAGTAGATTGCCCAACCTTCCTTCCCAGGAGTGGCTGGTGGGTTTGAGCCGCCAGCCTTCTGGTTAGCAGTCAAGTGACTTAGGCTCTACGCTACCAGAGCCCCCATTATTAACATTACTATTAATATGCTACTATTTTTGGAGCATTACATCCTAAGCCTTTCTTTGCTCCCTATTTCTTTATAAGAGCTCTCTCAGGTCAAGGTACTTGCGTCCAGTTTACAGATGAGAACACTGAAGCTCGGAGGGCTGATGTTAGGACTAGAAAGGGCCTCAGCTCAGCCTTTAAAGCTGTCTGCTCACTCGTGCTCATAAGACCTCCTCCTACTGCCCACTCCCCAGGTGCAGAGGGGGAACAAAGGCAACTTGCCTAGATTTGGTCAGTTTCTAAGCAGCTCCAGGATCTTGCTGGAAGGAGCAGAGAGGGGTCAAAGGGGCCATCCTGCTGAGGGGTGGAGGTCCTGGGACCACTCCCTTCAGCAGCCCAGGCCTTCTCTCCACAGGCCCATGGCTGAGAGCTCCCTCTACCGGCAGAGGCTAGAGGTCATCGCAGTAAGTG